CCACTATTTTTACATTGTGATTCGAAGGGGATATAGAGAGTGAGTTGTCCTGTGTCAATCTCACGTTTAGACTTGTGCGACTCACATTTACCAGATATTACGTAAGAGGTGGCCAAATTACGGCCAATTTTCACATTAAAACTGCGACTTGGCTGCGTTCCGATCGCAGTCTCCCTTGGAGGACTTGGTTCGAATCCCACTTGTGACAGAGGTTTTGAGTAAACCTAATGAAGTGCCTCAATTCAGGCCAATTTTTTTTACATTGTGATTCGGAAGGGATCTAAATAGCGTCTTCCTGTGTCAATCTCACATGACCAGATATTCCGCAAGAGGTGGCCGAATTATGGCCAGTTTTCACATTACAAACTGCGACTTGGCTGCGTTAAAGAGTGTGTCTTCCTGTGGCAATCTCACATTGACCAGATATTCCGCAAGAGGTGGCCGAATTACACATTACAACTGCGACTTGGCTGCGTTCAGATTGCAGTCTCCATTGGAGGACTTGGTTCGAATCCCACTTCTGACAGAGGTTTTGAGGTAAACCTAATGAAGTGCCTCAATTCGGGCCACTATTTTTACATTGTGATTCCATTCCCGGCCACATTGTGACGGAAGCTGCATTGGCCGGCCTCCCTCGGTACAGAAGAGAATTCTACCACTAAGTGTGCTAAAGTGTATGCTGCATCGAACCCGGGCCACCCGCGTGGCAGGCGAGAATTCTACCACTGAACACCAATGCCTTTTTTCGCTGGTGTTTTGGATCCCGTCATGTCTCAACCTCATATTTAAAATTGTAGGACTGAAAGTATTTGATCGTGACGAGGAATGTTCAATGCACTTGTGTTCCTCGTTAGTATAGTGGTCAGTATCCCGCCTGTCACGCGGGAGACCAGCGGTTCAATTCCCCGACGGGGAGGAGAGGGTTTTTTACTGACACTCCCCCAACACAATCAATGGCACATTATACTTGGACAACACGGCATCTGTGCAGAAGAAGCCACTGATGTTTTAATTCAAGCCATTGATCAACTCTGGTGAACGTGTAAATTTCATGTCGGATGTCCGAGCGGTCTAAGGCGCTGCGTTCAGGTCGCAGTCTCCCCTGGAGGCGTGGGTTCGAATCCCACTTCTGACAGTTTTTGAGTAAACCTAATGAAGCGCCTCAATTCGGGCCACTATTTCTACATTGTGATTCGAAGGGGATATAGAGAGTGAGTTGTCCTGTGTCAATCTCACGTTAGACTTGTGCGACTCAACATTGACCAGATATTCCGCAAGAGGTGGCCAAATTACGGCCCAATTTTCAACATTAAAATTGCGACTTGGCTGCGTTCCGATCGCAGTCTCCCTTGGAGGACTTGGTTCGAATCCCACTTGTGACAGAGGTTTTGAGTAAACCTAATGAAGTGCCTCAATTCGGGCCACTATTTTTACATTGTGATTCCAATTCCCGGCCACATTGTGACGGAAGCTGCATTGGCCGGCCTCCTCGGTACAGAAGAGAATTCTACCACTAAGTGTGCTAAAGTGTATGCTGCATTGGCCGGAGAATCGAACCGGGCCTCCCGCGTGGCAGGCGAGAATTCTACCACTGAACCACCAATGCCTGTTTCTACAGGTGTTTTGGATCCCCGTCATGTCTCAACCTCATATTTAAAATTGTAGGACTGAAAGCTATTTGCTCATGACGAGGAATGCTCAATTAGTTTGTGTTCCTCGTTAGTATAGTGGTCAGTATCCCCGCCTGTCACGCGGGATGCCGGGGTTCAATTCCCCGACGGGGGAGAAGAGGGAGTTTGCTGACACTCCCCAACACAATCAATGGCACATTATACCTTGAGAACGCGGCGTCTGTGCAGAAGAAGCCACTGATGTTTTTATTGGTTTTAATTCAAGCCATCGGTCAACTCTGGTAAAGGTGCAAATTCCAAGTCAGGATGGCCGAGCGGTCTAAGGCGCTGCGTTTAGGTCGCAGTCTCCCCTGGAGGCGTGGGTTCGAATCCACTTCTGACAGTGTTTAAGCAAACCTAATGAAGTGCCTCAATTCGGGCCAATTTTATTACTATTGTGATTCGAAAGGGATCTAAAGAGTGTCTTCCTGTGGTCAATCTCACATTGACCAGATATTCCGCAAGAGGTGGCCGAATTACGGCCAGTTTTCACATTACAATTGCGACTTGGGCTGTGGTAAAGAGTGTGTCTTCCTGTGTCAATCTCACATTGACCAGATATTCCGCAAGAGGTGGCCAAATTACGGCAATTTTCACATTAAAACTGCGACTTGGCTGCGTTCGATCGCAGTCTCCCTTTGAGGACTTGGTTCGAATCCCACTTGTGACAGAGGTTTTGAGTAAACCTAATGAAGTGCCTCAATTCGGGCCAATTTTTTTACATTGTGATTCGGAAGGGATCTAAATAGCGTCTTCCTGTGTCAATCTCACATCTGACCAGATATTCCGCAAGAGGTGGCCGAAATTAGGCCAGTTTTCACATTACAACTGCGACTTGGCTGCGTTATAGAGTGTGTCTTCCTGTGGCAATCTCACAATTGACCAGATATTCCGCAAGAGGTGGCCAATTACACATTACAACTGCGACTTGGCTGCGTTCAGATTGCAGTCTCCATTGGAGGACTTGGTTCGAATCCACATTCTGACAGAGGTTTTGAGTAAAACCTAATGAAGTGCCTCATTCGGGCCACTATTTTTACATTGTGATTCCAATTCCCCGGCCCACATTGTGACGGAAGCTGCATTGGCCGGCCTCCCTCGGTACTGGAATGTTCATGCACTTGTGTTCCTCGTTAGTATAGTGGTCCAGTATCCCCGCCTGTCACGCGGGAGGACCGGGGGTTCAATTCCCCGACGGGGAGTAGAGGGTTTTTACTGACACTCCCCAACACAATCAATGGCACATTATACTTGGACAACACGGCATCTGTGCAGAAGAATCCACTGATGTTTTAATTCAAGCCAACGATCAACTCTGGTGAACGTGTCAATTCTATGTCAGGATGGGCCCGAGGCGGTCTAAGGCGCTGCGTTCAGGTCGCAGTCTCCCCTGGAGGCGTGGGTTCTAATCCACTTCTGACAGTTTGTTGAGTAAACCTAATGAAGCGCCTCAATACGGGCCACTATTTTTACATTGTGATTCGAAGGGGATATAGAGAGTGAGTTGTCCTGTGTCAATCTCACGTTTTAGACTTGTGCGACTCACATTGACCAGATATTACGCAAGAGGTGGTTGAATTATGGCCAGTTTTCACATTACACCTCTTAATCGATCAAACAACTGGGCTCAATTGGCCGGCCCATCAGCGGTCTAAAGCGCTGCATTCAGGTAGCAGTCTCCCCTGGAGGCGTGGGTTCGAATCCCACTTCTGACAGTGTTTGAGAAAACCTAATAAACTGCCTCAATTCGGGCCAATTTTTTTACATTGTGATTCGGAAGGGATCTAAAGAGTGTCTTCCTGTGTCAATCTCACATTGCCCAGATATTGCAAGAGGTGGCCGAATTACGGCCAGTTTTCACATTACAATTGCGACTTGGCTGTGGTAAAGAGTGTGTCTTCCTGTGTCAATCTCACATTGACCAGTTTTTTCTACAAGAGGTGGCCAAATTACGGCCAATTTTCACATTACAACTGCGACTTGGCTGTTCAGATCACAGTTGGTTCGAATCCCACTTCTGACAGAGGTTTTGAGTAAACCTAATGAAGTGCCTCAATTCGGGCCTCTATTTTTACATTGTGATTTCGACTCCCCCACAATGTGACGGAAGCTGCATTCGCCGGGGAATCGGAACCGGCCACCCTCACTACAGAAGAGAACTCTACCACTAAGTGTGCTAAAGCAGATGCTGCATTGGCGGGAATCGAACCCGGGGCCCTCCCGCGTGGCAGGCGAGAATTCTACCACTGAACCACCAATGCCTGTTTCTACAGGTGTTTTGGATCCCGTCATGTCTCAACCTCATATTTAAAAATTGTAGGACTGAAAGTATTTGCTCATGACGAGGAATGCTCAATTTGTTTGTGTTCCCTCGTTAATATAGTGGTCAGTATCCCCCGCCTGTCACGCGGGGAGTCCGGGGTTTCAATTCCCCGACGGGGAGAAGAGGGATTTTGCTGACACTCCCCCAACACAATCAATGGCACATTACACTTGGACAACACGGCATCTGTGCAGAAGAAGCCACTGATGTTTTAATTCAAGCCAACGATCAACTCTGGTGAACTTGTAAATTCCATGTCAGGATGGCCCGAGCGGTCTACGGCGCTGCGTTCAGGTCGCAGTCTCCCCTGGAGGCGTGGGTTCGAATCCCACTTCTGACAGTTTTTGAGTAAAACCTATTGAAGCGCCTCAATTCGGGCCACTATTTTTTACATTGTGATTCGAAGGGGGATATAGAGAGTGAGTTGTCCTGTGTCAATCTCACGTTTAGACTTGTGCGACTCACATTTACCAGATATTACGTAAGAGGTGGCCAAATTACGGCCAATTTTCACATTTAAAACTGCGACTTGGCTGCGTTCCGATCGCAGTCTCCCTTGGAGGACTTGGTTCGGAATCCCACTTGTGACAGAGGTTTTGAGGGTAAAACCTAATGAAGTGCCTCAATTCAGGCCAATTTTTTTTACATTGTGATTCGGAAGGGATCTAAATAGCGTCTTCCTGTGTCAATCTCACATTGACCAGATATTCCGCAAGAGGTGGCCGAATTATGGCCAGTTTTCCACATTACAACTGCGACTTGGCTGCGTTAAAGAGTGTGTCTTCCTGTGGCAATCTCACATTGACCAGATATTCCGCAAGAGGTGGCCGAATTACACATTACAACTGCGACTTGGCTGCGTTCAGATTGCAGTCTCCATTGGAGGACTTGGTTCGAATCCCACTTCTGACAGAGGTTTTGAGTAAACCTAATGAAGTGCCTCAATTCGGGCCACTATTTTTACATTGTGATTCCAATTCCCGGCCACATTGTGACGGAAGCTGCATTGGCCGGCCCTCCCTCGTTACAGAAGAGAATTCTACCACTAAGTGTGCTAAAGTGTATGCTGCATCGAACCCGGGCCACCCGCGTGGCAGGCGAGAATTCTACCACTGAACCACCAATGCCTTTTTTCGCTGGTGTTTTGGATCCCGTCATGTCTCAACCTCATATTTAAAATTGTAGGACTGAAAGTATTTGATCGTGACGAGGAATGTTCAATGCACTTGTGTTCCTCGTTAGTATAGTGGTCTAGTATCCCCGCCTGTCACGCGGGAGACCGGGGTTCAATTCCCCGACGGGGAGGAGAGGGTTTTTTTACTGACACTCCCCAACACAATCAATGGCACATTATACTTGGACAACACGGCATCTGTGCAGAAGAAGCACACTGATGTTTTAATTCAAGCCATTGATCAACTCTGGTGAACGTGTAAATTTCATGTCAGGATGTCCGAGCGGTCTAAGGCGCTGCGTTCAGGTCGCAGTCTCCCCTGGAGGCGTGGGTTCGAATCCCACTTCTGACAGTTTTTGAGTAAACCTAATGAAGCGCCTCAATTCGGGCCACTATTTTTACATTGTGATTCGAAGGGGATATAGAGAGTGAGTTGTCCTGTGTCAATCTCACGTTTAGACTTGTGCGACTCACATTGACCAGATATTACGCAAGAGGTGGTTGAATTATGGCCAGTTTTCACATTACACCTCTTAATCGATCAAACAACTGGGCTCAATTGGCCGGCCATCAGCGGTCTAAAGCGCTGCATTCAGGTAGCAGTCTCCCCTGGAGGCGTGGGTTCGAATCCCACTTCTGACAGTGTTTGAGAAAACCTAATAAACTGCCTCAATTCGGGCCAATTTTTTTACATTGTGATTCGGAAGGGATCTAAAGAGTGTCTTCCTGTGTCAATCTCACATTGCCCAGATATTCCGCAAGAGGTGGCCGAATTACGGCCAGTTTTCACATTACAATTGCGACTTGGCTGTGGTAAAGAGTGTGTCTTCCTGTGTCAATCTCACATTGACCAGTTTTTTCTACAAGAGGTGGCCAAATTACGGCCAATTTTCACATTACAACTGCGACTTGGCTGCGTTCAGATCACAGTTGGTTCGAATCCCACTTCTGACAGAGGTTTTGAGTAAACCTAATGAAGTGCCTCAATTCGGGCCTCTATTTTTACATTGTGATTTCGACTCCCGGCCACAATGTGACGGAAGCTGCATTCGCCGGGGAATCGGAACCGGCCACCCTCACTACAGAAGAGAACTCTACCACTAAGTGTGCTAAAGCAGATGCTGCATTGGCCGGGAATCGAACCCGGGCCTCCCGCGTGGCAGGCGAGAATTCTACCACTGAACCACCAATGCCTGTTTCTACAGGTGTTTTGGATCCCGTCATGTCTCAACCTCATATTTAAAATTGTAGGACTGAAAGTATTTGCTCATGACGAGGAATGCTCAATTTGTTTGTGTTCCTCGTTAGTATAGTGGTCAGTATCCCCGCCTGTCACGGGGAGACCGGGGTTCAATTCCCCGACGGGAGAAGAGATTTTGCTGACACTCCCCAACACAATCAATGGCACATTACACTTGGACAACACGGCATCTGTGCAGAAGAAGCCACTGATGTTTTAATTCAAGCCAACGATCAACTCTGGTGAACTTGTAAATTCCATGTCAGGATGGCCGAGCGGTCTAAGGCGCTGCGTTCAGGTCGCAGTCTCCCTGGAGGCGTGGGTTCGAATCCCACTTCTGACAGTTTTTGAGTAAACCTAATGAAGCGCCTCAATTCGGGCCACTATTTTTACATTGTGATTCGAAGGGGATATAGAGAGAGTTGTCCTGTGTCAATCTCACGTTTAGACTTGTGCGACTCACATTTACCAGATATTACGTAAGAGGTGGCCAAATTACGGCCAATTTTCACATTAAAACTGCGACTTGGCTGCGTTCCGATCGCAGTCTCCCTTGGAGGACTTGGTTCGAATCCCACTTGTGACAGAGGTTTTGAGTAAACCTAATGAAGTGCCTCAATTCAGGCCAATTTTTTTACATTGTGATTCGGAAGGGATCTAAATAGCGTCTTCCTGTGTCAATCTCACATTGACCAGATATTCCGCAAGAGGTGGCCGAATTATGGCCAGTTTTCACATTACAACTGCGACTTGGCTGCGTTAAAGAGTGTGTCTTCCTGTGGCAATCTCACATTGACCAGATATTCCGCAAGAGGTGGCCGAATTACACATTACAACTGCGACTTGGCTGCGTTCAGATTGCAGTCTCCATTGGAGGACTTGGTTCGAATCCCACTTCTGACAGAGGTTTTGAGTAAACCTAATGAAGTGCCTCAATTCGGGCCACTATTTTTACATTGTGATTCCAATTCCCGGCCACATTGTGACGGAAGCTGCATTGGCCGGCCTCCCTCGGTACAGAAGAGAATTCTACCACTAAGTGTGCTAAAGTGTATGCTGCATCGAACCCGGGCCACCCGCGTGGCAGGCGAGAATTCTACCACTGAACCACCAATGCCTTTTTTCGCTGGTGTTTTGGATCCCGTCATGTCTCAACCTCATATTTAAAATTGTAGGACTGAAAGTATTTGATCGTGACGAGGAATGTTCAATGCACTTGTGTTCCTCGTTAGTATAGTGGTCAGTATCCCCGCCTGTCACGCGGAGACCGGGGTCAATTCCCCGACGGGGAGGAGAGGGTTTTTTACTGACACTCCCCAACACAATCAATGGCACATTATACTTGGACAACACGGCATCTGTGCAGAAGAAGCCACTGATGTATTAATTCAAGCCATTGATCAACTCTGGTGAACGTGTAAATTTCATGTCAGGATGTCCGAGCGGTCTAAGGCGCTGCGTTCAGGTCGCAGTCTCCCCTTGAGGCGGGGTTCGAATCCCGCTTCTGACAGTTTTTGAGTAAACCTAATGAAGCGCCTCAATTCGGGCCACTATTTTTACATTGTGATTCCAATTCCCGGCCACATTGTGACGGAAGCTGCATTGGCCGGCCTCCCTCGGTACAGAAGAGAATTCTACCACTAAGTGTGCTAAAGTGTATGCTGCATTGGCCGGAATCGAACCCGGGCCTCCCGCGTGGCAGGCGAGAATTCTACCACTGAACCACCAATGCCTGTTTCTACAGTGTTTTGGATCCCGTCATGTCTCAACCTCATATTTAAAATTGTAGGACTGAAAGTATTTGCTCATGACGAGGAATGCTCAATTAGTTTGTGTTCCTCGTTAGTATAGTGGTCAGTATCCCCGCCTGTCACGCGGGAGACCGGGTTCAATTCCCCGACGGGAGAAGAGGGAGTTTGCTGACACTCCCCAACACAATCAATGGCACATTATACTTGGACAACGCGGCGTCTGTGCAGAAGAAGCCACTGATGTTTTTATTTTTTAATTCAAGCCAACGGTCAACTCTGGTAAAGGCAAATTCCATGTCAGGATGGCCGAGCGGTCTAAGGCGCTGCGTTTAGGTCGCAGTCTCCCCTGGAGGCGTGGGTTCGAATCCCACTTCTGACAGTGAAACCTAATGAAGTGCCTCAATTCGGGCCAATTTTATTACATTGTGATTCGAAAGGGATCTAAAGAGTGTCTTCCTGTGTCAATCTCACATTGACCAGATATTCCGCAAGAGGTGGCCGAATTACGGCCAGTTTTCACATTACAATTGCGACTTGGCTGTGGTAAAGAGTGTGTCTTCCTGTGTCAATCTCACATTGACCAGATATTCCGCAAGAGGTGGCCAAATTACGGCCAATTTTCACATTAAAACTGCGACTTGGCTGCGTTCCGATCGCAGTCTCCCTTGGAGGACTTGGTTCGAATCCCACTTGTGACAGAGGTTTTGAGTAAACCTAATGAAGTGCCTCAATTCGGGCCAATTTTTTTACATTGTGATTCGGAAGGGATCTAAATAGCGTCTTCCTGTGTCAATCTCACATTGACCAGATATTCCGCAAGAGGTGGCCGAATTATGGCCAGTTTTCACATTACAACTGCGACTTGGCTGCGTTAAAGAGTGTGTCTTCCTGTGGCAATCTCACATTGACCAGATATTCCGCAAGAGGTGGCCAAATTACACATTACAACTGCGACTTGGCTGCGTTCAGATTGCAGTCTCCATTGGAGGACTGGTTCGAATCCCACTTCTGACAGAGGTTTTGAGTAAACCTAATGAAGTGCCTCAATTCGGGCCACTATTTTTACATTGTGATTCCAATTCCCGGCCACATTTGCGGAAGCTGCATTGGCCGGCCTCCCTCGGTACTGGAATGTTCAATGCACTTGTGTTCCTCGTTAGTATAGTGGTCAGTATCCCCGCCTGTCACGCGGGAGACCGGGTTCAATTCCCGACGGGGAGTAGAGGGTTTTTACTGACACTCCCCAACACAATCAATGGCACATTATACTTGGACAACGGCATCTGTGCAGAAGAATCCACTGATGTTTTAATTCAAGCCAACGATCAACTCTGGTGAACGTGTCAATTCCATGTCAGGATGGCCGAGCGGTCTAAGGCGCTGCGTTCAGGTCGCAGTCTCCCCTGGAGGCTGGGTTCTAATCCCACTTCTGACAGTTTTTGAGTAAACCTAATGAAGCGCCTCAATACGGGCCACTATTTTTACATTGTGATTCGAAGGGGATATAGAGAGTGAGTTTCCTGTGTCAATCTCACGTTTAGACTTGCGACTCACATTGACCAGATATTATGCAAGAGGTGGTTGAATTATGGCCAGTTTTCACATTACACCTCTTAATCGATCAAACAACTGGGCTCAATTGGCCCCATCAGCGTCTAAAGCGCTGCATTCAGGTAGCAGTCTCCCCTGGAGGCGTGGGTTCGAATCCACTTCTGACATGTTTGAGAAAACCTAATAAACTGCCAATTCGGGCCAATTTTACATTGTGATTCGGAAGGGATCTAAAGAGTGTCTTCCTGTGTCAATCTCACATTGCCCAGATATTCCGCAAGAGGTGGCCGAATTCGGCCAGTTTTCACATTACAATTCGACTTGGCTGTGGTAAAGAGTGTGTCTTCCTGTGTCAATCTCACATTGACCAGTTTTTTCTACAAGAGGTGGCCAAATTACGGCCAATTTTCA